TTCAAAGACATCAGTGTCCATAATAAAGCTAAAATATTTCACTCACCATGGTGCATAAAATTCAACTAAGATAAGTTCTGCTTCATTAACAATTTCATCAAAGTTTGCCTCGGTCAATGTTATTACTGCCTCTGGTGGAGGTTTCCAGTTTGGATCCGCTTGTTCTTTCATATACTTTACAATACCTAGGCAAATCACATTTCACAAATCATTTTTGCTATCATATCTAAAGTCTACTTATATTCATATCTCTACATGTTCTGTATATCTTAGAATGATTGGTGAAATTACAACATGTTCTTCATATCTAGAAAGTTTGATTGCTGTCATAGGCTGAAAAAAGTCCCAATATATTTTATTGATATGAATCCTAATATTATTCTAAATTTAATGTTGAGTTTTTATCTTGTGTTTACGTTAAAATACAAATTTCTCTCCCAAGATGCATTGCTACATGCTCAATAACACACTCAACTTCACAACTTGAGTTTCTCTTGCATAATACATTGCTATGTGTAACATGCTCATAAGCATCTCCCATTCCTTTGAGAGATTACAGATAAAGAAAAACCAACTACCTTCTTCTTCTCTGGGTCCTTCATAGTTGAAGGCTTCTCCTTTACGGAATACTTTCAGAGTTGGATATCCAGAAACATCATATCTAGTACCAAGTTCTGACTCTTCGGTGGCATCAACCTTTGCTAAGAGAACAGGAGGATCATTCTCTTTCAGTCTTTTAGCCGCTTTCTCATAATGAGGTGCTAGCTGCTTGCAATGTCCACACCTAACAATGATGCAAATCAGTAAATAGTCAAAAAAAAATTAAAAAAGGAATTTTTTTTTTTTAAATTGTAAACCAGCATATAACAATTTAAATAGTTCCAGGAGATTGTTATAAAAAGGTTTCCATGTTTGTTTTTTGAATTTTCAACATTTGTATGTTACTCCACGAGTATGGACTTTTGTGTCTTAGCACAATCTCATTAAAATCCAATGAAGCTCCAATTTTTTTTAATTTTTTTTATGTCTCTTTATATAATATTTATTTGCATTTTAGTTTGAATATGTTGATTTTTTGATTAACTGATTGACAAAAAAATAAAAAAATAGACATATTCAAACTAAAATACAGATAAATATTATATAAAGGGTAATAATAATAAAAAATAAAAAAATAAAAAAATTGGAGCCTCATACCTACATCGAATTTTAATCAGATTGGTCTCAGCACAGACCACTGAGAATAGATGTGCACTCTCATCTCAGATATAGGTGAAATTAATTACTCTCCAAAGATGTTGCATATCAACATAGATGGTCAACAAAATCAAGCCAAACATTAGTGATGGCCACAATCTTGGACAACAGGTATTCAGGTTGAATGTCATAATGAAAACTAATTTGAGTGGAAATATAAAACTTGGAGAAATATCTAACATGAAGTTGATGCATTTCAGCCCAAAGTAATGCTATATCTAGTACTAACCATGGGGCATAAAATTCTACCAATATAATATCCTTGTCTGGTACAACATCATCAAAATTCTTCTGTGTTAAAACCAAAACATCGTTTTCTTCTTGAACATCAGGTTCAAGGGATTCTAATTCCTCTTCATCTGAAAATGAAATAAAACTTTCTATTAATCTAGGAGGTACTAGCATCTCTAGATCTGGTTTTTTGCTCGACCACCTCATAATGTAACAACTTGGGGTAGACATTTTAATCCGATCGTGAATGTTTGTTGATAAGCCATCTTTCATGTAATGCAGCTAATTACAGAGACATTATGTACTTTATACTAAAGCACAAACATTATTTCAACGGTGAACATACGTTTCTCAGACCATATGTTCTACACATGGCTGCTAACAATACTTCAACAAACAGAAAAGTATGTTACAGCTGATAATGTTCTGTGTTTTTCTATTGGGCAATAAGCTGAGGACAGTGAATTTTTCCTAACATGTTGTATTCGCAAATTTAGTGCAAGTCCAACAGTCCAAGCATTTGGTTACAGAAATCATATTCTCACATTTAGGACTGCCAAATTGTGTGTTGACCATCTTTCTATTGTTAAAGCTTAAAGTTAAATTGTAGTATTTCTAGATCTTTAAGCAAGGACCCCCCCTAAAGTGACACATTTGTGTATAAATTGAGACAAGTTTCTTCGCCCCCCTCATTTAAGACTGCGACATGGCATGCATATAGGGCTAATATCCTATTGGTGTTCTACCCGAGATAGGATTTGAGTTTGCCGAGCCAGAGATCTGTATCTGTATTTCTTTGTATTTATGTCCCTTGCCATACAGAAACCTTCTGAAGGTTTTTATTAGTGTGACAAAGTAATCATTTGCTGGAACAAGAACAAGTTATCAGCATCGTCTTGAATACCAGTGTTTAAAGATTTTTTTGGCTTTACTATATACTAAAAATGATAAGGCACGTGGAAAATTATTATAACATTTTTAGTAGAATTCACATGGCACCCTGATGGGCAACATACATAAATGCAATAAGTTAGCAATATGGGTAAATATGCTGCAATAATGAAAATGTAATAAATCATCTAACCAGTTAGCCACTCAGCATGTACCACGTTGTTAATCTTAAAACTAATTGGAGTGAAATTTAATGGGATTAAATTGCGCATACTTGAATATTGTACCAAACAACCATTCAGAGAGAACCACATGGGCTACGGTACATCAATTACAGTATTCAAATTAATTCAAACGAACAATTCAATTAGTAATAGTATGCAAATGTGCTGTACATGCAGTGCTTCACTGCATTTTAGCCATCACATCTATTCACATCAATAAACCTGTTTGATCTTCAAGTTATTTACAGTATTTGTTACATACATAAAAAATGAAAAACAAAAACAGGCTAGTCATGCAGAATGTAAATCATAAATCGTTGGCAGTCATTCATTTTACATTATTCAATACAATATCATAGCAACTACTGTCATTCATTTTACATTATTCAATACAATATCATAGCAACTACTGGTACGTTTATATTACTGTGAGGTAGCAGGTCATATTAACCCAGAAGGCTAATTTGCTTATTGAAAATAACTAGACATAATATAACTTAGTAGTGCCCAAATAGGCATCAGCTCACTGATGACATAAATGAATTGTTTTTTGTGAACAACCAATAGTATTTGAACTAGTGTCCTATGAGAGGTCAAAGTTGAAAACTTGCCTGCTGTAACATGCTTTCAATATACAAAGTGTGGATTTACATATCAAAACATATTACTAATACATAGATTAACCATGGATTAACTTAGAAAACATTTAAATATTCAAGTTGGTATAAATGGATCAATGTTTGTAGCTTATCACGATCTGCATAACGAAATTATCAATTATTAATTAAAATATGTCTCAATTTAAAATAGCTACTAGTACAGTACCGGTACTAGTGAATTTTCACTTTTAATACCTGTAGTATAACTAAAAATAGCCAAAGTACTACTAGCTTAACAAGTAAGCGGGGAAATCATTTTAACTGATCAAACCACACTTGGAGCTGCTTCCGTCTTTGCTTTACACCCGGGCGTAAACTTTTCCTATTTTTTGTACAACTTTTGGACAAAATGAAAGTTTGTTTTTTGTTTCTTTTAATTCCACAATCGCAGAACAATCCAGTTAATGCATACGGAAAAGTATATCAAGTTTTAAACAAATATAGTACACGCCCTATCGGGGTCCCGGGACGACCAGTGATATATCATGGGAAGGCGACACAGTCGGGAATTATTGTCACACAGGCACAACTGCTAATGGTGCAAGGTTTAATGTTGCTAACTTGACAACATATCCCTACTCACCAGGTATCTCCGCCGTCTCGCCTCCTTCTTCATCAGTCGTGTTGACATTTGCAAACAAGAGAATACACCCGAAGATAACAGCAGATATTTTTAATGCCTTCATGTTGACAACCAATGTTCGGATTGCACACCTCCAGTAGAGCCTTACCACACCCGGGGATTCCCTAGTAATATAACACGGCCAAATAAAATAGTTCTTAATTAGTTTTATGTAAACATTAAACAAATAATGCACTATTCTCAACTTTTTAGATTTCTAATAAAACATTATATTATATTAAAGTTCTCAAGATGTTTAATATTTTTTTGAAATTACTTGCAACAAACTTCTTATTCGTCAGCGGAGGATTTTTTTCTTTCAGCCAATCACAACTTGCCATGTCGTCTGCTAATAACCTTCAACCTATGAACTGAAGACACGCGTCCGAGTGTTTACATCAACAACTTGCGAATTTGACATTTGTAAACTATATCTTTTTATTCATATACAAAATAAATGTCAAAAATACACGTATCTTGGCATTAAAGAACGATTAAGCAATAGTGTTTAGTGTCGATAAGTACACAGCATTTCCCAGAATTCCTAGACCGGAAGTAACCATTTTCTCCATTTCAGAGATGCAGAAGTATGAGAAATTGGAGAAAATTGGCGAAGGTTAGTATAGTGTCCATATTTCCTTTTCACATGGAGATAGTAACATAAGATGCGCATGAATATTTATTGGTGATGAACGGTTATTGTCAATGATTTGGGGAATATGTGAAATGTTTATTGTTAAAAATAATCAAACCGGCATCACCCCGCCATCATCGGCTTCTAAACGAGCCGCCACAGTTTACTTACTCTGACACCAGGTCTCTTGTCGTTACTAGTGTCAAACAGTGGCGATGCTTGTTGTAGCGCAATTGGTGAACTCCAAAATGTTGCACGATCCATTATCTCATTCTCAGCGTTTGACTCGTCGACACCGACACTCATTAATTAATTAATTATTTTTTTTATTTACCTATTGACTCTTACACAATCCCCGGAGGGAAAGGATATGGTCACATGTTACAAGAAAACAATATGCTAAATAACAAAATACAATCACTAAAATACTAAATAATGTAAGATTACTAAAATAATGAAAAAAAAGGTAAAATTTGTGATAACAGAAATAAAGTAAAAGTTAATATTACTGACAGCAGGCATTAAAATGTCAAGGAAGATCCTGCTTCCTGACTTCAAAGCTTTTGCAGTCTCATTTTTGTTTGGTGATGGCGGTGGGGAGTGTGTGTATAAAACCAACAGTAACAAAAGAATTTTTGGTCACTGAACCAAATCGAGGAATAGCAGTTTGTCCTAAATTGCACAAAAAACAATGAATAAGGAGAAATTTCACCCTTTTTTATCTCATATCCAGTGTTTATGAATAAATAAATCATGATTAGTTTCTTATTAAAGGTAAAGTGCTACTCGCGAGATATGTGCACTGATGAACGCATATAGCAGTAGTGCTCAATATATTGTGTCAAAATCTGTCTACAATTATTCGTTTTAGTATTAATCAGCAGTATGTGAACTTTGTTGGTTGGCTGTCAATTAGATTTTTGAAAAAAAAAACTGTAAAAATTACAAATAAAAAGCCTTTTTAGCAGCAGTTTCCAGAGACCACAATGAAAACACATTTCCTACTTTGTAAGACATTATACAGTATTATTATTAAACTTTCTTTCACCATATGTCACCACAGGCAAACTTGCCAAATTCTGACGAGTCAAAGAAGATAAACAAAATTCAGTCAACTAGACAGTCTCGGCCAGTTTTTAAACGTACATACAGCGTCACTCTCAGAAATAAATCATGTCATAGACCAAACAGACATGCACAGCAAACTTTCAGCTACTGCTCCTATACTTAGTCAAGTATCCTTAGTTTTATATATCTAGTCCTTTGACTGAATCTACGTTGTTTTTACATGACACTAGGAACATATGGAACAGTGTTCAAGGCAAAGAATAAGGAGACTCAGGAAATAGTTGCATTGAAAAGAGTACGTTTGGATGATGATGACGAGGTAAGAGAAGTTGGCTCATTAATTTACCTTTACTGGATTTAAACTGTGATATTGTTCACTAAGGGTTTTCATAAGTTCTTCTTCTAAGGTCAGACAAAGAAAAATTCCCTGTTCATCAAACTTGCTGGAACCTGTCAACTGTAATTTTATTTCTGTCAAAAAATCACTTGACTATTGACACGATTTTTTCTCTGGCCTAATAAATCAATAATTTAAACAAAACGCAGATAGAATCTACCAATAGTTGTATTTCTTGTCATTAAGAAGAAATTCCAATATTGTCAGTTATTTCCAGGTGGAATATAATAGAGGGTCCAAATATATAATGATGTATTAAATTAAAAAATTTTTTTTTGTTATTTTTTTTTTTTTACAGGGAGTTCCAAGTTCAGCTCTGAGAGAAATCTGTCTTCTGAAAGAATTAAAACACAAAAACATAGTGAGATTACATGACGTTCTTCACAGTGATAGAAAATTAACATTAGTATTTGAATATTGTGACCAAGACTTGAAAAAATACTTTGACAGTTGCAATGGAGAAATTGATCCAGATGTTGTCAAGGTAACTGGTGATTTTCAATACGTGAACTTCAGTGCTAATTGAAAACTAAGTTATTCTTGTGAAGTTATATTTGTATGGTAACTTTATATAATAATCTTTTATGGTACAACATGCTTGTAAAGAGCTGCTGTTGTGGGCTGCAGATTAGTTGTTTGCATACATTCTATTTAGACATGCCCATGGACTATGTTACCCAATTTGTGTTCGTTATGCTGTTATCATGCCTCGTTTTTCTTTCACCCACTCACAAGGTGATACCCTTAATAAGTTAAAATTTTTACCTAATTGCACATGTCTGTTAGCATTGAACTTGTGGTTATTGCTTCATTATTGAACTGAGTTTAAAACCTAGCGAATGAGATTAAAAAAAAATGTATGCCTAATAAACATTGTACTATTTGACTGGTAATATTTGCTAATATGTGGCAAGTTTATTTATTATTTTAGACAAATTAGTCGTCCTCATTTTGTTTACCGGTAGACTAATTTTAAGAGTGTATATTTTTTGCTGTAACAACATAAATATAATTATAATTGTATTAGGAAAGGTTATTTAATTTTATGCATTTGAAGTATTGTTAAGTGTACTGTTGCAGAATACATATTAGCGACTCCATCACACCTAGTAGCTTGGTACTGCCAAAAAAATACAGTGCGTTTCTGAGAACAAATCACAATATTAATGCACCAGATTAGTTAATGCTTTTTGATTTGTATGTTGTTTGAAATCAGAGGTTGCTGTAGTTTAAAACAATTTACTATTATTTGTACTCTTCTCTTATGATTTCAGTCATTTATGTACCAATTACTGAGGGGGCTAGAATTTTGTCACAGCCATAACGTCCTTCACAGAGATTTGAAGCCACAAAATTTACTTATAAATAAGGTAAGCAGCTGATTCATTGATTTGCATATCTTACAGTATGAAAGTAAATATGATCATAACATAGATTTTCTGCCTTACATGTGATGATATTTGATTGTGCTATTCCATACCATAAATTGTTGACACTTCACAACTTGCAAGATTACCATATCAGAGTTAACATAAACAAAAACCAATACACATTGATTTGAAATTAAAAGTTTTTTACAATCTAGATACCTATTCTTTTCAATCACAAAATTGTATTTTCCTAACTGATGTCATCTTGTTTTTATTTTTAAGAATGGTGAGTTAAAACTTGCCGACTTTGGTTTAGCCAGAGCGTTTGGAATACCTGTGAGGTGTTACTCCGCTGAGGTAGTCACTTTATGGTACAGACCACCAGATGTCTTATTTGGTGCTAAACTTTACACCACATCTATCGATATGTGGTCGGCTGGCTGTATATTTGCAGGTAAACGAATAAATCCTTGGAGTATCACTCTGTATTGTACCGGGTATCAGTAATGGTCATTTTTGGTATCTATAATTTGATGACTAGAATTATATTTTTAATAGATACACTGTCAAATACTTCATTTTCGCTTGGAATTAATTTTCGCTGAAGGCATGATTCAGTGAAAATAAATTCCATACAAAACACCCAAAAGTGTTTTCAGCGAAAATTAATTCCAGCTAAAATAAAGTATTTTACAGTAATCAAGGAGCGACTTCAACATCTATGTGCGATGATATGCACTGCAGATCTCATTAGTCAAATATATTTCCTACCAATAGCCTCACAATGCTGTGAACGCTTGAAAGGTTTGATTGGATAAACGACAATGAAAACGATTGTTGCCATATTCAAGTATGCACGTAATACTTGCTTTGCGAATATACAAGGATACCAGTATTATGAGCCTGAGATAGAAACTAAATAATTCTTTCACTCATTTGCATTAGTATTTCCAGAAATGTACATTTGTGATCATCTCGTCGTCACATATCATTTGCATACCATCATGATGTAATTCATGGATAAAATGTAATTTCATTGTAGAGTTAGCCAATGCTGGTAGGCCATTATTTCCAGGAAATGATGTGGATGATCAACTTAAGAGAATATTTAAACTACTAGGGACTCCTATAGAAGATACCTGGCCTGGTATCACTAAGCTGCCTGAATACAGGGTAATTATATCTGTATATGTGTCATATATTGTAAACAGTGTAATGTATTGTAGCACATATCCTGTAATCTATTTGTTGGCTGAAAATAACATCTCTTGGATCACAATATATATTTCAACCTTTCTGTCGTAAACTGTAATAGGCAGTGGTCGAAAATTCATGCAAATAATCTTCTTCTTATCACATAGATGAAAAAACAAAAATTAATGAAATTTGTATTTAAAAAAAGTACTGGGTCCTTTGATAAAATAATCTTACTAATGTCAGTATAAAAGTTTTTGTGGGGTAAGACTTTATGTATAATTTCGAAGCCATTATGGTTTTAAAAAATTATATTAATAATCATGTTTGACAGGGATTCTTTGATATATACGATTAACAGAGCAGATGATGATGATGTTTAGTACTCACGCAGTGTTTTCTTTGCAGCCATATCCTATTTACCAAGTCACTACTCCCCTTGTGTCAGTAGTGCCAAAACTATCAGTGAAAGGAAGAGACCTGTTACAGGTAGGTTGTTTCTATATCAGAATTCTTATGTAGTTTAGTTGTATTTGTTTTTCCTAAGTTTTTGCACATTCTTGCACAAAATAGCCACCAGTTACGCACTAACTCAATACTATGCCACCTGTATTACACATAAACAACATAATTTCTTTAATATTTTACCAATGCCACAGTCATAGTATTATTTTATCACATTTGGCTAATTTATTTAACCCCCTAATTTAATTGTTTAAATGAAAATTCTGTCAACATAAATGCAAGAAATTGCATTATTACAATTTAATTTATCCTAGCCAATAGCATTTAAAACTGACCAAGTGATGGTATTTACAAATTGTCACCAAGATCCTGTTGAGAGGAAGACAGCTTGTTTAGCTGCCAATTAGTGTTCCATTTTCTACTGCCATTGCATCCACCTACGTAACTACTGTATTTGAAAAAGTAGATGTGATACCATCAGTGAATGGAACAAATCACGTGGCTTTCACACTATCAACAAAATCTCAGCAGCTATTAACACATAAGCAATACCGGGTTATTCGTATTTAATTCCCAATAGAGTGCATAGAGTGTGTGGCAATTGGATATATCTGAATAAAAATGATAAATTACCAGGATCATACATAGACAGTGGTGTTCCATATACCGGTAGTAAGGGAAATGCCACAAAGATTCTGGACTGTTTCAAAATTCAATATGCATTTTTTATCAACAGGTGTCTGTTTTTGAAAGGTTCCTATGACAACTTGACTTTTCAAAGTAGTAAAATTCATATGTAGTAACTTTCATAATAATGTTTATTTTCACTCAGCGTCTATTGGTTTGCAATCCTGTACTAAGAATGTCTGCTGAAGAGTCTCTCCAACATATTTATTTTGCTGATCTGAATCCAGCGATCAAAAACTAATTCTCATACAAGTGAGAATACAGACCACTGCCATCATTATTCTCTATATTTTATTTGCACTTCATTTGTGTACATATAGAATGAATTCCAAAGAAATAATATAATTTTATTCTATTTATGATTATCAATATTTTCTTATGATTTTTTTATGATCGATCACATTTCCTGTTTTATATTTGTTATCTTTTGTGTTGTTGATTGTTAGTAAAGTAAATAGATAGAATAACTTATTTTTATGGGCAGATTTATGTTCTGATTCTGTACTGGAACTGATCTGATGTGCAAGTACATTTGTTGAGCAGATTCATATTTACTGGGGAGTCTTGAGATTGGTACATGATTGACTCATGTTGAACTTATGCTTTTATGTATTATTTTTGTATCAACCGCTTTTAACTTATTTATGAATAATGCTCCGTTCTCAACTAGTGTATCATGTGATACTGGGCTAATATATTAATATATTTTAAAATCGTGATAACTGATGTGAGGTTTGAAAGATGAGTTGACAATAAAGACGAGTCGAAACAATCATAAACATTTGTACAATACATGTATATGAGGAAGTGATGGTAGCGCCCTCCTGTGTTTAATATTCCAGATGTCGTCAGCCAATCTGGCACAAGTATAATGTGTTTAAATTAATAATGTGCGCTAATATTTGATTCCATTTTCAGAAATATGTTTTATACAAGTTTATTATGATTTTTATTTGATTTAATTTTGTGTTTAATAATTTTTATATGTGAAAATTTGTGTTTTGTAATTTAATGTATATAATTATTGGAAGCACATTGTATCCTGAATAAAGATTGAAAACGTAATGTAAATCTGAATAAATGGTGTTTGATATGCAAGTGACTGGAATTTTAAAATTAAAAGTATTGTTTTCACACCTTACTGAAAGCAAAGAGTCTTAATTGATATGGGTTCTATGCAGTGTTTACAATACAACTAAAATACATTCTTGTGCAAGGTCATAAGGTCCATGACACTTGATTGAACATTCATTTCGCCAAAAGTTGAATATATCTAAGTATCAAACTACCATCAAATGTATGAATTGATGTAAATATTGCATATATATACAGACTGTAAAAGAAATTATTTCTGGAAATCTAAACACAGTGGTTCATGTTCACGCTGGATTTATACCAAATTATGTTGAAGTTTTCGACTCCCATGTGCAAAGCACACAATGGGATTCTTTGGAGTTTAGTGTGTGTGTGTGTGTCTTTTCCACTGATATCTCAAGAACCAATTTTTAGCTTTTATTGAAACTGTGTACATTGATGCCCTGGGATATTGCACTGACCTGAATATGTTTTTGTTTAAACCATGCATATTAATCACTTAATTTGCATATTAATTAACAAATTTTACAATTTTCAACTCATTAAACAAATTGATACATAGGTGCTTTTAAATAATGCGCAAACCGAATTGGTTTTTGATTAAAATCCATGCATATTTATTACCTAATTTCCTTATTAATTAGCAAATATTAAGCATTTGTTTCTCAAGTAACATTCAACAGATTTTTATGAAACTTGGTACATTGATGCTATGAGATAATCCACATACCTGATTTTGGTTGAAATCTGTGCATAATAATTACTTTATTTGCATAATTTCCTAAACAATTTGTCTGACAAGATACCGGTATATGACTAAAATATCATTGCTTGTAGTTATATTTTCAAATGTGTTTTTGCTCTCATAGAAGCTAATGTGCTAACTGTAAATATATAGTAAATACAGTATTCTTTATTTGTACTCCATGCCTTCAATACCTTCAGCACATGAACATTTTTTCTTAGCTTTCTTTGATTTGTTGTAGATAGTTAATGGTGATTTGAATGTTGAATTATTATAACAAATTTATTTAAAAAATCAGCTTTAATTCAGAGTTAGTAGTTTGTTGGACGAAAGAAGTAAAATGAAGTGTTGCACCATTCATTGAACTTAAGCACTTTTTGAAAAATATGATTCATTGAGACACACTCTTTAAGCTTAGTAAAGTGCTTATTGCAATTATTGACCCCTGATATTGGTCAAACTTCTACTTTTAGTCAACAATCCACCAAATTCATAGCAATATATCATTTTGTACTTCTTTGAAGAAGAGAGATCATTTAAGGTAGGTTGCCATCGGCTACCATTAAAAATATTATCATATTTTTTTTCGATTTTGCATTATGGTTTATATTTTATGGTTTTCTGCCCAAAAACCCAGATAAAAAAATATACAGGTGTCAAACTACTATTAGCACAAGACAAGTCAAACCTCCATTAATATGGTAAACTTTTAAACCATTTACTATTTCTTTCTATGGTAAAAATCTCACACCATATCTCAAAATTTTGTTTTGTTATAGGGATGTAAAATCATATGTAGTTTATGATGGATAATTGTGGTTGTCAAGAATCACCAGGGCTATTTGTAACTGGTTATATGATTAATTATTTGCGAACCATATGTGGTCAATAAACCTGTTTCCAAAGAATCATTACTTTTACTGTATGCAATAAGTTCATTTGGGTGGTCGATGGACGCTTAAAGCGGGAGGGTCGTCTCCTGCGCACGCGCGGGAATTGAGTCCCAAGCTACGATTACAACACGCGCGAGGGCTCATAGGTAGACGCTTGTTTGGAAACAATGACACGGCCATCTGACGCATGCGCAGGTGACGACTCCCCCGATTTAAATAAAGATAATTTTGGCAAAATGACTGAAAAACGCGCCATAATTCCTTTTTAACGCCAGAAAACCATAAACTATTAATTACAGCTGATTTCTTAGTTTAACTTTCACAATAAACACAAAGCAAAATTCTATAACTCGTATTACTATATGGATAAACAACATTCAAGAGAACCACAATAATTTATCATTAAAGCGCGGTGGTCGTCGCGCAGCGCGTGTTTAAATTTTATGTAAATAAACAATGTATTTTACACGCGTTGTATACGTCGCTATGTGTCCCATATCGAACAGGACGCGGCACGACGACTGCCGCCCTTTAAGGTGTGAATTAGATGTGATCATGACCTGCTAAAATACTGACTATTCCTGTTTAAAGATATCGCTTTTACACTATGGGCAATTACCTGCAATAATGTTGTCATTTCGTACCACATGTGATGGTAGTTGGACACTTACATGACAATACTTTTGTCATGCATCGCTGAATCTCATGTCATGTGTTGGCGCTCCGTGTTTTGGTTCTGAATGAGCCATACTTATCTGGGCATTGCATCATCTATCAAAATTCGTAGGTCGGCAAATCACAATGGTTTAATCATGGAGCTAAAATGGTTTAATATAATCGACCATTATATGGTTTATTTCGATGATTAAACATCATTCTTTCAATTGTTGGAATTGTATCTGACCGTTCCATTGGATGCATCATTTGAAGACGTTGATTTATTACTTCGGTTCACCCGAATACAATGTTGTTCGGGTCATGTTCGGGTCAAGTTCGTTCAATGAACACATATGGTGACAAAGCCTTTAGTAACATTGAGGTATGTTTGTCGCGTCACGAGGTGGCGCTCTCTCACCAAAGCATGGATTAACATTTTGATTGTATCAATTAGTATGCGACATAGTAGCAATGTAAGTTATCGCTGATTGTTAGTGTTATGATGTAACATTGCCATTTTTTATCCAATCCACTGATTATGATTCTGGCACTGCAATAACACTGACGTCAGCTTTTGCGTATATAGAGAGTGAATACACGGCGATTTGGGATGGTGAAAACATGGGACCAATCAGTGAATACTTCATTACGTCAATATCTACAAGATATAGTTGATATAATGTATGATTATGCATGGCAGTGAGCTTGATTTAGCGATAATAATAGAGTATATAGGCGAGTATAAATGAATCCACGTGTATGTATTATCAGATAATGATACATCATAGATGGAAATATATAAAACAAAAGTGAGGGTTTCACCACGAAAAGCAGTAATATTGAAATCTGCAAAGCTTGCTTTAGAATAACAGTGCTGTTTTCACCACATTCGATGATAATTTTAATGATGTTACTTGTATGTTTTGGTACTTGTCCCGGAGTACTTGTTTTATACACAGTTCACTGGACATGGTAGGTTAATGTTTTTCCTGTTTACAGTGATATTTGCTTTTTTTTCCTTTAATTTTATTTTTTTTAATTGTGCATAAAATACACAATGTGACTGGTGCCTCGTCTTGAGAATATTTGGGCGCGGTAATTATAGTGAAAACAGGGCGCTATGTAGAATCACAGTCCCCGGGCACAGTCCCTCCATACTGTGGTAGGGACTGTGGTAGAATATTGCAGCCATACCTCTCCCGTTTTGTCAAACGTTTTCGTCTAGAACGCCCTCTACAGCCAGAGAAGACCAATATCAAGATCCTGTGAAGTTGTTTGTGACATCATGTGAGTGCTTCTAAGTTCTTCTAATCGAAAAGGGTTAGTCATATTTTATAATCCAGTTAATTAAACACCGAGTTACAATTTAGGCGTGGCTTCTCAGAAATGGGTGTGGTTTATAAAATACGAGTGTGGTCATGTTTGTAACTCAATGTTTTCGTGGTTCTATGTTCGTAACTCGGATCAGCTTGAACATTCAGCAGCGATTTGTTCTCTTCTGTGTTGATAAACATCTTAATATCTGAAAATAGCAAATTTATATATTTTATATAATTTATATACTATATGATCATTTTGCCTAACATGCTCAGGTTTATTACTGTTATGATCATTATAATGTCACGTGATTTGTTCCACCTTATTGGTGATGTCTTAGGTTACTTTGTTGTAATTTCTTTATGACAATTTGTATACAGTATACCGAACAAACGACCCCGATTGAAGGTCACGTATTTTGTGTCGTCGCCAATTCGTGTGTAGGTATGCCACGTCGTTCGTCCTTATAGTCAAAGAATATTCTTATATTTCTTCCAGGCTGTGTCGTCCCATCGTCCAACAAAATTCCACATAATGAAGAACACTGAAGCAAAAACTGTGATACCAGGGATTATGCCTTCTCCGAAACAAAATACACGGGACAATGGTAACGAGGGTTTCACACAGACCTCCTGTCTGTTTTGAAAAGACATATACAAGTACATACCAATGAACGTTCGCACCAATGTAATATATGCGACAAGCGTTATACCGCAGCAAGAAACTTGAAACGACACATGATAGTGCATGCGAGTGAGCAACCATACGGTTGTCAGACATGTGACAAGAAATTTACCGCATCATGCCACCTGAAAATACACATGAGAGTGCATACGGGTGAGAAGCCGTACAAATGTGAGATGTGCGACAAGCGATTTAATGTAAAATCTAATCTTCAAAACACACATGAGCATCCATACGGGTGAGAAGCCATACCATTGTGAGGTATGTGACAAACGATTTAGCAGAGTGCACAGCCTGCAAATACATGCCAGCGTGCATACGAATGAGAAGCCATATCATTGTGACTTGTGTGACAAGCGATTTACCCGAGCAGCAAATCTGAAAACGCACATGGGAGTACATACGAGTGAGCAACCATACAAATGTAAGATTTGCAACAAGCGATTTCGCGTAGCGTGTAACCTAAAACACACAAGAGAGTGCATACGGGTGAGAAACCA